AACCCTGATAATCCAAATAATCTTTCACTACAGGAGACCTATTTTATCAAATAAAATATAAACTATCAGATGCACATGGTGACAGACTACTGCTACTCCAGACATTATTTTTTTTTGCTTGTTTCTCCATAAAGTAGAGGTGGGGTGGGGTCCAGACACCGGGGCAGGAGGATGTCCTAGTTGGAGGCTGTCCTTGGCCCTTCAGTGAAATCCGCTTTAAAACAAACCAGAATAAAACAGAAGAAACCCACCCCACCCCAAACTTTATTGAGGAGCCTAAAAGGGTTAGTTAGGGGGCTCTGACACTTTTAAGAGTCACAAACAGGAACATTATAACTCTATAGTTTTCTCCCTTAAAGCTAAAATGCTTGAAATGGTAACACAGGCTCAGTGAAAGGCAAAAGCAGAAAAATTCTAGCCACTAGTAAATAAAACTATCAAGACAGTTTTACTATTTCACTACAGGATGGATAGGAAAAGAAATGATAAGATTCTTCATTTCACACAGAACAATGTTAGCAATCACTATTCAGTACGAAAGCACAATCCTCATACAGAATTACCGTTCCATACCTTTCCATACACTACTCTTTTCTGTATCAGTATGTTAAACTGAGATGCTTTGATACTTGTACACATTTTCATAAAACTGTTACACTTCCAAGAGAAGGATTCTGCAAATCCTGTTCCAAAGTTCTGCTCACATACCTCTAATACTTGACAAACAATAGTCAGACCCTAAGGAGACTACTACGCTTGTGGGGATGTTGCATGATCAGACAACAAAAAAAGCAAAGCAATGTGAGTGAGGTACAGTGGTAAATGTCTATACACCAGCTATCCTATCCAGGAAGCCTAGGCAGGAGGGCTCTAAGTGTAAGGTCAGCCAGAGAAAACGGGGCTGGGGCCACTGCTCCATGGTGCAGTGTTTGCCAATCATTCTTGACATCCTGGGTTTAATTCCCAGTACCACAAAAAAGGAACAAAATTCTAAATAGCAATAAAGTCCATGTGAAATGCAGTAGCCATGAAGGTTATTTTCCTAAGTGCATTACTATAGCCTAGACATTAATAAAGTCACTAGAACATTAGGAAAAATAGCAGAATATTAACAGTAGAACCACGAGAATATCTGAAAATGACACATCTTCAAATAATCTGTTCTTAAAAGCAAATGAGCCAGGTGCAGAGGGACAGGCCTGGAATCTGAGCTACTCAGGAGGATCAAAAGTTTGATTCCAGCTTCCTTGGCGGCCCGGCCACCTGTAAAGGCGGAGCGTGCCGGGCGGTCGGGGCGGCATCGAGGCAGCGGCGGCCGCGCTCCCGCGGGGTGGC